ATATTTTTGTTTTCCTTTAGACATTTTCATTACTATTTAGTAAATGATCACATACACTGATCACTAATCTATGAGGTGCTTACTGATTTCTTAGCGGATTAAATGATACCATTATATACTAAAAACTTTAGTATATGTTTCCTATAGTTTGCTACAAATCATACTTACAGCTTGTTTGGCTCCTAATTTGATTTCTTATTCAGTTTGAGAATTGTAAATACTAATGCATTCAACTCTGTTTGTCTTTGTTATTTCTTCTGTCCTGAAGGTTTAGGAAGTACACACTGACCAGGCATGGTGGCTCACACCTGTGATCACAACACTTTGGGAGACCAAGGCAGGCAGATCACAAGGTCAGGAGATCAAAACCATCTTGGCCAACATGGTGAAACCCCATCTCTACTAAAAATACAAAAATTAGCCGGGTGTGGGGGTGCGCGCCTGTAGTCCCAGCTACTCAGAGACTGAGGCAGGAGAATTGCTTGAACCCGGGAGGCAGAGGCTGCAGTGAGCTGAGATCGTGCCACTGCACTCCAGCCTGGGTAACAGAGCGAGACTCTATCTCAAAAAAAAAAAAAAAAAAAGTGCACACCATTCAAGATGTTATAATTCATTCAATCTCTTCTGAAATGGGTCAGTATCCTCTGTAGTTGTCAACTTTGCCTCCATTTCCCATTATACTATTCTTCACAGCAAATTCTACGTCTTGTATCTTTGGATTCACCCCTGCCAAGTAGATAGCATTCATATTTACTGGCTCGATGGATGGATGATGATAGTAATAATAAGAGCTAATATTATTTGACTTCTTACTAAGCATTATTCTTGAAACAGTGCTCTAACCGCTTTTAAAAACATTAGCTTCTTGGTGTATTACATTTTCTATCATTAACCACATTTCTACAACAATCCTAGAAAGATAAATCCACCTTATAAAGTCTCCTTTTCTAATGAAGGAGCATTGGAAGGTAATTGTCAAACTTCTACCTCCACACCACATCTTAGACAGTGGCTACAGTCCACCTGCAGCAGAGGCATGTACAAAGTGCTATGAAACATTAATGTCATACTGTTTCCACTCCAGCTCCTGTTGTGAGTCCATTTTCTCACCCAGGCCCAGATGCCTGAGTCCTGAAACTTCTCTGCCACATGGCTGATCACTCTCTGTTAAGTTCCACATATATTTTCCCTTCATCGTTAGAAAGAAAATCATGAGGGTGCTAAGAAGGTAAATGGGAAAATACTCAGGTAACACCTGGCTCCTGGTATGAGCTCAATCACTCTTAGCCATTCTCATCAACATCATTATTAGACCAGCTAGCATTGCCCATATATTCATTCTTTCTCCTCTGCCAAGTTAGATACAATTTGGAAGACAAAAAAGTAGTTCACATGTGCATGGTTCAGCTTCCTCAATTTTCACATATTCTTCAACATTACAATTGGATTATCATTCATTAATTCCTTCAACGTCAATGATCTTATTGTTGCCAAATCCAGTGGCCCACTGCACACAAGGAAACCATCATCTATTACCCGGTCGATCTGCTGATCCTTCTCTCTTCCTGTCTTTACTGCCAGAGACTTTGGTGGCATCTTTGTTCTTTCTTTTACCATCTCCGCCCCTACAGGTAAACAACCATCAAATCCAACCTCTCTACTTTAGGGAGATATTCTTCCTCTTCTACTCCCACCTCTTAGTTCATCCCATTCTTCTGGGCCACTAAGAAACACACAATATTCTCTGGTCCTTTTCATTTTTTTTCTTCATCTCTTGTAGTTTATATTTGTTTGTTAGTTATTAGGTTGGTGCAAAAGTAATCATGGTGTTTGCCATTACTTTCAATTACTTTTGCACCAACCTAATATAATTCTAATTGTATCATCTAGTGGATTTCCACATTCCCCTCCCCAGGTTCCCTTCCAGTCTTATATCTTCCTTTGAATTCATCATACTTGACTTCTCTCCTTGACAAAGTCCTATTCACCCTTCAGGTCCCAGCTCACCCGGCAGGGCCTCAAATGGTCTTTCTTATTCCCTCCAGCACAAATTAATTGCTTCCTCTTTAACAAATCCCTAGTATTGTATATTCCTCCTAGTATACTTCATCATTCAAAATGTTCTTTTTATTACAGTTGTGTATGAAACGTCTGCTTCTCCTATTATATTGTAAAATGTCTTGTTTATCTTTGTGTGACCTGTGGTAACTCAGTAGAAAATGTGTGTTCTTTAACACTTTTAGATCTTATTGTAAAACAGGAAGCAATTTAAAATATACGGCGACAGTTAAAATAGAATAGGATGGGCTTTCATATTTTGTCTGGTGCATACTAATTCCGTGACTCCTGAAGAAAGACCCACAGCCAGCCTCAGGCGTTTTCCTCTTGACTGAGGCAGGGTCCTTACAATGAAGCTGAGGGGTTCTTGAAAGGCCCAGAGATGGCACACAACACGCTGAGCCTGGTGCCTGACTCCCAGTACCCAAAAACTGTGACTGCGATTATTGAGAGCAGACATCTCATACGACACTTTTTTGCATTAAGTAAGACAATAAATGTAGATGGACTTTGAAAACTATAAAATCTGAAACACGTATTTCACACAAAAGAGTCCAAGTAAAATAACTGGATGAAGGAAGACTCTAATGTGGATTTTATTTCTCTTCTACTCTTCCTCCAATGTTCTGTGATGAGTGAAGTTTCCCTCAACTAATTTTGGATATATCTGGCCTTCGAGGAGTTAAAACGTTATACTGACTAATGCTAAAATGAAGAGAAGTGTTTCTCTTACGATTTTCATTTCCTAAGCGTTTCTTCGGATTCTTCATTAAAGTAAGCACTTTCCGACAGAATAGTCTGGATTTATTATTTCCAGTTTTCCATGTCACAGACACCTTAAACAACGGGGAAAATCTTATCCTAGCAGCAGTTTTTCTTCACAGACACTTGGCTGTGATCTTTGCAGTTTCCACTTCATTTGTGCTTACATAAATGGAGGTTACTGGCAGGGTTTTTTTTTTTTTTTTTTTTCTAGATTTGATGTTCTCATAATTATTTATTTAGAGAAGTTGATATCAATTTTGCATTTGTGACACTACAAAGAGAAGCTTCCCTTCACAAACTGTAGGAAACTGGAATAGGAAATACTCATTTTAATACCATATCAGGAGACTCTATGACGAAAGACAAATTATACAATCATCAGATTATTCCTCAAACACACAACTGCCCATAAATGACTTTCATCCTCTGTGAACACCAAAAACTGTAATTACACATGAGCGAAGACAAATATTGTAAATTCACTTCAAATATTTTTATGTGAGAACAATTACCTCAGACTTTTGTAATTCACTGTTAAATGAAATAAAATCTCACTATAAATTAAATACATAAAACCATCAAGCAGTAATAAATACTTGGCACAGCCAAATAAAAACGTTAAGGATAGGTGGCTCTATTAAATTAAAATTGGTATTTTATCCTTATTTGTCAGTACATTTATTAAAATGTCAGACTTGATTAAACTACAGTCATTGTTCCTTCTACCCCACAACCCAAGGGCTTGTGCACAGGAACAACTACTGTATCCACTGCCAGACAGAGAAATTCACTCAGCCCTGATAATTCACCAGAAAAAAACGCTACTTGAGCTCCTAGTGTGAAACGAGCATTTTCTTTCTCCTCCCATATCTGTTGACTGTGAGAAAATGCTTGAGTGTCTGCCACTTAGGGGCCCCTTGGTAACTTAAAATAAGACCTGCGTCTTAATTAACTTTTAAGAATTCCCTGCTTATATTTTTCTCTTCTCCAATCAGAACAAAATAGTGAAAATACGCACTCTCACAACAACCTCAAAGAGTCTGATCCAAATTCCCCACTTATGCTTGAAGTTCCCATGGGCAGGATAAAGAAATATCACTGGTTCTGGCCTCACACACTGGTTTCCAGAGACAGTCCACATCCACATCTCTCACCCTGAAAATCCTTAAACTCTAAAAGAAAAAAAAAAAAAGGGGTGGGTGGTTTCTCTACCTATGCATGCATCAAGAACTAACACGTATTTTGGCTGGGTGCGGTGTCTCACGCCTGTAATCTTAACATTTTGGAAGGCTAAGATGGGTGGATTGCCTGAGCTCAGGAGTTCAAGACCAGCCTGGCCAATATGGTGAAACCCCACCTCTATTAAAACACAAAAAATCAGCTGGGCGTGGTGACAGGCCCCTGTAATCCCAGCTACTCAGGAGACTGAGGCACAAGAATTGCTTGAACCCAGGAGGTGGAGGCTGCAGTGAGCCGAGAAGTGAAACTCTGTCTCAAAAAAACAAAACAAAAAAAAAAAAAGAACAAACATATATTTAAACTGTCTTTAATGACAAACAATATTAGACAACCTCATTAGATGCTGAACCCTGCTATGGAACTGAAGCATTTGAGAAGAGATACATACTAGTACATTTTGAAAATTAGTATGTGGTCTACAAATAATATGTGGTCTACAAAAAAGTAGTATGTGGTCTGCAAATCAAATAATACTGAATGCTTATAAATTATATATTTGGAATTTTATTTTAATTTATCTTAAACATTTATTTGCTATCAAAGATTTTTAAATACTTCACATCTGTGCTTGGAAAAGCGAGGCAATAGTTCAGCTGAGAAGAAGTATATGGATTCTTACACACACAAACAACTTTATACCAAATTGATCACAGCAGGTTTGAAGGAGAATTTTGTTTCATTTATAATTATTAGCTACAACTATAAAAAATTGGCAAAGGCATTAACCGCCTGGGAAAGCCTTTCCCAGTCTCCTCCAAGGGCTTATTTGAAAGAATCTTCAGTGCTTTATTTTATCACAGGTCAGAAATGAGTTAACATTTACATTGTCTATGTCCATGGACCTTTCCAAAATGTGCTCAGTTGGTTTTGTCCAGCCCTCTCCTACATATGAGCAAAGTCAGTCTCTTGGTTTGCAGACAGATATGTGAACTACAGACCTGTTCATTCCTACATCCTCAATTTGCAGATGCAGTTCTTCTCAAATGTAGAGAAATACTGGAATTTCTGTATGAGAAATGAAGCAATGGAAATGTCGACTCGCCCTCTGACCTTTTATAGGGACAAAAGATATTAAAATATCTTGGTAGATACTGATGACAGGTACAATAGTCTAAGACCTTACTTAGAATGGCACAGATAAGCATGCAAACGAGCTCCAGTTTAAGTAATGACCGTGTTATTGTTTGCCTTTTTCTTTTGTCTTACTTTTGTTTAACTTACCCAGAAACCAGCATTTCTAATAACTTTTGCAATTATAAGTGTGCCTTCCCATTTTTTCCACTTCGGATCTATTCATCAGCAAATAATGATGCATACTTTAAATCATAGCCAATAGTCCTAGAATTTTACAGTCCCTCCATAAGTTAATAATCACTATGAGGAGACTCCATTTTTAGCTTACTTTTCCATTTCTGCCCTCAGTCTGCTGGTTTATGAATTTAACTGTCAACACTAAGAGCACTAACTAATCAAAAGACTGTCAAAATGATACACCACGCAGAGTAATGTCTGCCTTACAAACAAAGTGTAAATGTCAATTCAGTCATTCCAGCAGGACCAAGCTGTTTATGGAGTTTAACCATCGAGACATTTGGGCTAATATTGCAGGTTTCCAGACAAAGATTAAGAATTTATTTAATGAGGTTCAGTTCTGGTGTTGTACTATTTTAGCTCTATTACAAGGGATACATTTGTTAATTGGCTGAAGAACAACAGAGCACTCAGACCTGTTCTCTGACAAAAATAATTCATTCAATAAATGTCGAGTAATACTTTGACTAAGAGAGACCAAAGAAAACATCACTTTAATGATAAATATGCTTTAGAGTCCCTGACTTCCAAACTGGAACAACTTAACACCTGAATGTAGAGTTGGCCCTGCCCTTAATTCTAGCATTTCTCCTATATGAGATACACGCATATTGTCCAAGACCAGCAGCCTAGTTTCCTACTTGCATTTTCTCTCTCTTGTCTTCTTTATTTTAATTTAAAAAATTATATATATACACACACATATTATTTATATATATTATATATTTAATATAAACAACACATATTTATAAATATATTATATAACACAATTATATATTATATATATCATGTCTATATATAATATATAACATATTTTATATATATATATATTAGCAGCAGGGTCTTACTAAGTTGCCCAAGCTGGTATCGAACTCCTGGGCTCAGGTGCTCCATCAGCCTCGGCCACCCAAAGGGCTGGGATTATAGGCATGAGCCACTGCACCTGGCCTCTTGTCTTTTTTTTCCTCACATTTTGTGTGTGTGTGTGACTTATTTTCAAGAACCACCTTCTGGCCGGGCACGGTGGCTCACGCCTGTAATCCCAGCACTTTGGGAGGCCAAGGCAGGCAGATCACGAGGTCAGGAGATCGAGACCATCCTGCTTAACACGGTGAAACCCCATATCTACTGAAAAATACAAAAAATTAGCCAGGAGTGGTGGCGGGTGCCTGTAGTTCCAGCTACTCGGGAGGCAGAGGCAGGAGAATGGCGTGAACCCAGGAAGCAGAGCTTGCAGTGAGCGGAGATCACGCCACTGCACTCCAGCCTGGGTGACAGAGTGAGATCCTGTCTCAAAAAAAAAAAAAAAGAAAAAAAAAACCACCTTCTACATTTTGGCTTATATGTAAATTTATCAGGCTTATGCCCCTAAAGTAATGTCCCTATAGAGATGCCTTTTTGTTTTGTTTTGTTTTGAAACAGAGTCTCACTCTGTCACCCAGGCTAGATAGAGTGCAATGGCGCAATTTCGGCTCACTGCAACCTCCACCTACTGAGTTCAAGTGATTCTCCTGTCTCAGCATCCTGAGTAGCTGGGATTATAGGTGCATGCCACCACACCCGACTAATTTTTGTATTTTTAGTAGAGACAGGGTTTCACCATGTTGGTCAGGCTGGTCTTGAACTCCTCACCTCGTGATCCACCCGCCTCAGCCTCCCAAAGTGCTGGGATTACAGGTGTGAGCCACCGCACATGGCAATATAGAGAGGTTTTTATACTTCCTGATATCAACCATCTTCTCTGCACACCAATTATTTCCTAAAATCTAATAACATGGTGCCAAGCCCTAATAAAAGGCATGATGATCACCTATTGCTCCCTACCTTACTCCCTCTGTACCGACAGTCCCCCTACTCTGTGTTCCAGACGTGGCCAGTCTTCACCACTCAGGTACAAAGACCCCAGGCATGATGATATGCAATGACCATAATAGATCATAAGCAACCGACAAGGCCTAAACTTAATGGAGCTTTAATAATTGGAACCTTGATATTAAAGATCAGTTTTTAGGAGTACATTGGCTGATTGCATTCTCCATTATTCCAAGAAAAACTAAGAATTTATCAGGATTTATCCAATAAACCTTTTCTCACCCTTCTTTGACCCTATTTTAATCCTCCTCTCATTGTTCTTATCTAGTTCCAGGTGTCCATTGTCCTGGTACTGTCCACTAGCAGTCCAAAGCCCTGACTCCAGCCCCTCATTGTTACTGTCCACAGGAAGTATCACAAATTGCAATATGACCTATTTTCCCCCAATTGCATTTACATTTTCCCATGAGTGACTAAATATAAAAGCTCGGACATGCTAGTGTTGTTACTGTAATTGTCAGTAGAGAGATTCAGATTTAGGTGTCAGGAGATGGTTACTATCTTGACATGACCACCTGGGATATTCCAGGGGTTCTAATCAAATACAAACCTAAGGACCATGTTTCAAAGTATTTTTACTGACCAATATTTAAAGTCCTTCAGAGGAATCTCTGGCCAACCCGAAGCACAGTGTGCATTTTCAGTTTCCGCCACTAACTGATCTGAACCTGTAGATATTCACACTAAGTACGCCAAGAGAAGATGCTGCTGCAACTCTTTAAGAAATTAGATATGAAGCTAGGCCCAACTTACACAACTGCTCAGGAGGGGGATCATTATGTTCATGAAGAAAAGCAGTTTGGACTGTGCCTTGATTCCGCATTACACATTATTTATTTCTAGAGTCCCTGAGATACCTTGATTTGGTTTTCTATTTTTTAATGACTGGTGCACATTTGGGCAACTTTTTGCTTATGACATATGAGAATTACAAAGTAGGCTTCAGAAGCACATCACTACTGAAAAATAAAAAAAAAAAAACATAGTTACCTTTTTTTAGATGCATACTCAATCAGAAAGCCTCAACGTTCTTTACAAAGGATTCACACCTTCATAAAGGTAAGCATTATCTCCCCTAACAGACAGATCTCTTAAAGCTTTTTGTAGTCCATGAAAGCCTCCCAAATCTCAAAAATAACGACACAACAGCCCTGCCAAACTCACAGTAACCACGGTATTCACTATGATCCACATCATGAGGATAGTCTACAAGAAGGAGATTACATGATAAGCTGTGGTGTATCAAAGTAAAATATAGAAATGAACTCCACCAGGGTCAGCTGATCAAGGTAAAGCAGAGAGATGTCAGTGGGCATATGCCCACATCCTATTTAACATCTTACCAAGTCACAGCAGAATCTTGCTCTTTATTAGTTTATAAAGTGTAACTCCACTTTCAGCTGGATATGAGCTTCAAATCAAACACTGGGCTAGCTTTACTTGAGTGGGGTGTGTGTGTGTGCATGTGTGTGTGTGTGTGTGTGTGTGTATTTATGAAAAAAAAATTGCTATTTCTAGATAAGATGTAAGTTTTACAAAAATCCCAGTACTACAGCTGTAGTTTTATAGAGTAAATCTTTCTTAACTATTAAGGAAAAAATTCTATGGTGGAAATAAATGTAAATGTACTTAAATATAATAAAATGTAAGATAATTTAGGTGAGAACATTAGCGTGTCTCATTATACTTTAAAATGTCATATGGCTATGGCTGAAAGAGAAATAACAGTGAAGAAGTCATTACTGAGCTTTAGAGTCTGTGGTTCAATCTGTGGCTTCCGTGCGACCTTCACCATGCGATCCCTCCATTCCCTGTAACCATTACCCTAGCGAAAATCATACTCACCCGCTGAGCAAAGTGTTAGGGACATAATAGGGCCTTAGAAATTTGCAAGAACCATTCAAAAGTGTTTCTCATTTTTGTCTTAAATCCAGTTTAGACAGTTTGCCCTTTTAGTACCAGCTAGGAAATCCTATCAGTGGTCTCCAGCTTCCGATTTCGGACTCAGATCCCCTGAGTTGTTTTGGTGAACCTTTTGGCCTCTCATCTCTATTTGGCCAACTTTCCTCTGCCTCCACTTCAGTGGTGTGCACGGGCCCAATAAGAGGGTGTGGTACGCACACCTGTCGTACCAGCTACTCAGGAGGCTGAGGTAGGAGAATTGCTTGAACTCGGGAGGCAGAGGTTGCAGTGAACTGAGACTGTGTCATTGCACTCCAGCCTGGGTGACAGAGCGAGACTCTGTCTCAAAAAAAAAAAAAAAAAAAAAAAAAAAAAAAGACAAAGAAAGAAAAGAAAACGAAAAAGAAAAAAAGTAAGACTTTCCATGTCACCACAATTCTGAGTTTACCCATCACACCAGGGGAGCAGATTGTGTCCCAGAGAACAGAGAGTGGCAGAATTTCAGAGCTCTGGAAGAAACAACAATGGCATCAAGAAATAGTTAAGTGGGGCCAGGTGCGGTGGCTCATGACCATAATCCCAACACTTTGGGAGGCTGAGACAGGAGTCTGAGACTAACCTGGGCAATACAGCAAGACCTGTCTTTACAAAAAATTTAAAAACAAGATGTAATGGCATGTGCCTATAATCCTAGCTACTTGGGAGACTGAGGCAGGAGGACTGCTTGAGCCCAGCAGGTGGAGGCTGCAGTGAGCTGTGATCATCCTGCCACTGCACTCTCCCTGGGGAGTGTGACCCTCCCTGTCTTAAAAGGAACAAACAGCCGGGCGCAGTGGCTCAAGTCTGTAATCCCAGCACTTTGGGAGGCCGAGACGGGCGGATCACGAGGTCAGGAGATCAAGACCATACTGGCTAACATGGTGAAACCCCGTTTCTACTAAAAAATACAAAAAATTAGCCGGGAGAGGTGGCGGGCACCTGTAGTCCCAGCTACTTGGGAGGCTGAGGCAGGAGAATGGCCTGAACCCAGGAGGCGGAGCTTGCAGTGAGCTGAGATCCGGCCACTGCACTCCAGCCTGGGCGAGAGTGAGACTCTGTCTCAAAAAAAAAAAAAAAAAAAAAAGGAACAAACAAAAACAAAAGAAATAGTTTAGTGGGGAAAAAGTTTAAAAAGTTTCATTACCCACTAGATTATAAACAGTGTAGAGCCACTTTTTTTAAGAGTTCCTGTGTGAGATATGGTGAGATACAGTGTGGTCTGGTGAGCCATTCATGTGTTGGCCTGGATTTAGCAATCCCACAAGAGATCACCTCGCTAGAGGTGTCCTTAATGATAAGGTAAAACAGAAAATAGATAGGCAAAAGCACCAGTCCCCAGGAAGACGGAGTAACAGCATCCCTTAAATCAGGATTTTAGGGAAGGGTGCTGGGGAAAAGAACAAGTAGAAAGATAAAACCTGACATGGCTACTAAAATGAATACCTTTGCCCTAGAAAAGTAGCTGTCAATTACTTAGAGGTTTTGGAATCTAATGCATTTGAGGGAAGGAAATTACAAGAAGCACCACACAGAAAAAGTATCTGAGCATGATTAATGAACGTGAGAAAAATTCATAAAGCTTTTCCTCTTTCAATCAAAATAAGGATGGATGACTATCCCTTGGCTCTTCCTGACTGATTGGTGAGACAGATGAGCAAACAGAGCAGGTGATTCTGTATGATTCAAAGGGACACATAAAGCTGTGTTATCTCCAGACCGCACATGGTACCGTGCTGCCCACATGAAAATCCCTTGGGGGTAGGGGCAGCCAGACCACTCATCTCCTAATGGTCCAGTGAGAGCAGCAGGACATAGAGC